TTAACTTCGGAGGCAAAATCAGATCAAGCGTGTAAGCGCCTACGCTTGATCCGTCATTGACCAAGACGTTCGACGTCTCGGTTTATTCTATGAAACTTGACTCCACAGAATCCAAGAGAGCTTTCTTCACAATGTAGTGATCATCTACATTGCGTTCTTGTACAGTCGTACTAACGACCGTACCGCAAGTGAGGACATCGCACTCACTCGCAGTACACCCTCATAAATTTGGGCGTTCCGAGATATTATTCAGATTGTTATCTTATGAACAAGTGTAGACATCGATACTGATCGATGCTGCCAGCTCACCCTTGGCTCGTATGTCCTAAGCCAAGGTAGTCCTAGGATGACATCAAACTTGTCATAAAGGTCGAGTACGATGAAGTCATCATCGTAATGTTCATCTTTCGGATGAAATTGACTAAACGTTTCTACATAGTGATCGATGCGCCTGTCGCAAGGCGCACCGTCATTCTCATTTAGGGGATCTCCTTCTTCACGAAGTTGATACTTCCAGTCTCTAGTGACTGGCGACGAACAAAATTGTTCGACGCCCCACAGTCTACTAGGGCACGAAGTGACAAATCATTTGTCACTTCTAACGTTTAGGTGATAAGGGCCACTTCATCACCGGGTGTAGAGACACACAGAGACTGTGTGTCAGAAGCATCTTTCGTCATGAGATTTGCAAATTCTTTTGAGTTTGCTGGATCTGTAGGGCGCTTCGCTCCTACTGACCTCGACCATTTTTTGATGGTCCGCTTTGCTGTTGCGTTTTCTAACATCGCTTGACCCACGCCCATTGCCAGTTTTGGCAAATGGACGACCATTTCGCTCAGAACTGTTTGGTACTGGGAGTGGAGACTACACTCGTATGCCTAGTGCCCTAACTTCTGACAGCGATTGCACCTCTGCAATCACTTGTTGTTCGAAGAGCGAGGTCTCTCGCTCTCAACATTGCAGAGGTCCATCGGTTCTGGACCTTCGATCTCTTGTCTTCTTGGTGGACGGTAAGAGTTTGAGCTAGTATGAGCCTGTCTCATGCTAAAATCTTCCTGTTCCGCGGCTGATATCGCCTCTTACAGCGTATCCAGCTCCAGGCGGAACAGGTGGCTCCTGACGGGCCCTTCTGCTAACCCTGGTATAGACACCGTAATCAACGTGTGTTCATGGACTGAATTCGCAGTTATACTACTCGCGAGGAGTATTAAATGTTGAGCGTAAGTGTGCAGATCAAGCTTATCTTGCTTAAGTTTCAGGAGCTCTGTGTAACGGGGTAGCCCGTTACATGATATTGTCATTAAGGCTAAAATGACAATATAGAATATTACGTTGAATATTCTTTTAACAATATCACCGAGCATAATGATATTTTGGATGTCTGAAGGGTCTACTCATTGGTTGATGTCGTGATTATATCAATTCACCAATCGCTACTAGACGTGCGCAATGGGCGGTGAGTAGACGTCATCATACGTTTAGTTCGATTAATATAATTAAATTAGGATATACAGAGACACAAGATCGATAGGACTTAATCTTATTAAATAACAATTACAATTTTACCAGAGACTAGACAGTTCACTTAGTCTCCTTTCCTTCCTCTGTGTTGGTGCAACACTTAGCAGGGCACTGACTATCACTGTTGTCAGTGGAAGTGAGATCCGTACTGGTCAACCAGTACGTTGTCACCAGTATCCCGGTACACTCTAAATGAGCCCAAAAATCAGCCCTTAACGGCTCAAATGCTCGTTTGAGCCGGGTTTTGAAGGAGTTAAGCGACTCAAAAGCGTATGGGTCGCTCATCTCCAGCCGTAAGGCTCAAGTCTTGGCGCTTCCTGCCAAGTGAGATTGAGCAATGTTAGTTTCATTTGCAAAGAGTCAATGCGACGCGCCGTTATGGCTCTATCTAATTCAAGGAACCATAACAACAACGAATCTCCCTCGACTCCTCTGTACTTGGAGATGTCAATTTTTAAGATTTCGGGGCGACGCGTGTGCGTCGTCCCACCCACAACAGCAGTAACTTGCTGCTGTCATAGCAGCTCTGTCTGTTGAACTCAGAGTTCTCTCAACTGCTCAGCCTATTGAGAGCCTTACTGGTAAAGCAAGACTACTTTCTCTCTTTCGGCGCCAAGTTCATGTCGAATGAACCTAGTGATGGCGACATGTTGTTGGTCTCTGTCAAGAGATTCCAACATAGCTGTAACGCCATTGTCGCCCACGGTAGAGCTCATTCGCCCTACTGCAGTCCATTCGAGGTCACTCAGATGGTCGAAGTATTAACGCGTGAACTGAAAGCTCTCTCCATCATCCATCCATCATGCTCATAAAGGGGAAGATGATGGGTCGTTGGAAGGACTACAAAATGCTACCAGGTGTAACAGGGCACGCTCTTGCTCAGATAACTGAGCAAGGCCTTGTATTGATAACAATACAAGGGTGCGTACGCCCGACGTCACGTACACGTAGCGTGAGGAAGCGCGGCCAAGACAATACAGAAAGTAAAAGCTCTGTCTTAAGAAAAAAGTAGAACTGTTATTTAATAATTAATTTTATTGCTAAATTATCTTTCGTCTTAATCTAACTATAATAAACTACTGTTCCCTATGTGAATCTTCTGTCCACCACCCATTGCGCGCATCCAGCAGCGATTGGTGGTGAAATTGGTTGGTGTACCATGTACATCAACCAAGAAGTGGGCCCCTCCACAAATATTACACTAAGAGGTAAAATTCCGACAACATCATTTTTCTCGAGTGATGTTGATTTAATATTATTAAAACAGATAATTTTTAAAAATTGGTACTTTCGTACCAATTTTTATGTAACGGGCTCACCCCGTTAGACTTTTGCTACGTTGTTATTTAAAGTCATTGTATCACCCGATAGAGCCTACCATCAACGATTGTGGTAGGATATAAAATAGACAGAGTGAGACACGTTTATCTTTGTGCGATTAGCTCTATGCCTTACAGATCTCGTGCTTATCACAATCGACGTGTTCTCCAATTGCGTCGGTGTGATCCTGTTACATGTCATTGGCACGAATCGTGTTGATGTTATCGCTATTAATGAAAGAATACTACTCTTGCGAGTCAATATTGCAGCGAAAAATACCTTCAGATGTAATATTCTACACCGCTTCACAAATAGTTTGATACAGGTCATGATATTTAATCGAATAAATTGCCCATCGCTTCTAGATGCGCGGGATGGGTGCTAAAAAAGATTCTGCATTCGAATGTTTGTAATTTGATATGTTGTGAGTAAGATATAGAATGTTTAGAAATGGGCATTAGCATATCAACAAAGGGCTACGTTTTTTTCTTCTGAGCAATTCTTGATCCGAATCTCCACTGCACGTATGGTGTACGCGTAATATTGGAAGCGTCCACCCTTAGACTGTTGCAGTTCAGGGTCTTATCAATTGCATGGTAAGATGTGTGCGCCATTACACTGTACGTACAGTGTACGTGAGTTATCGAGGCACGCGCCCACACTATGGTTAGCATAGATAACAAGGTGGCAAAAGAAAACTGAAATTTATATTGTCGCGTCCGGTGCACCGGTAAAATATAAAATTTAGTGTTCTTTGTAATCAAGACTTACTTGCTCTCGTTAGTCAAACAGATTCCTTGTCAACTACTTATACATGAGCTTGCGCGGCACCTGCTAGCAAATATATTGGTGTTGGTAAGCTGATATCGTTGCAATATTAGAGCTGGTGCCTTGTCACATTGCGGATATTCGATCACGTGTTTGCCGTTTTCTTTTCTCGACTGCGAGCGGGATCTGGCATGCATGTAAATGCCAATCACCATCTGGGTTCACGACCCGCGCTATTAATCGAGCGTAGGTTGCTTCACATCCATACCTTATGCATCTCGCTCCCATTCCGCACCGGACCGCGAGTCGCAGTCCGCGGATCATTCTATCACTCCGGATCGACGTTGATTAAATATTATCAACCTAGTACACATGGCTATTCCACATCGCCTTATCGCATCGCATCGCGTTGTCGAAGTCACGGTCCCAACTGTCGCGGAAAGATTTATTTCCCAAACTTGTCTCCACCATCACAACCAAATTCGGCCTTGATCACGCTGCGCGTCCATTCCTACCGACTTATCTGACCAAACGTGTCTACATTATCAATGAGCAATCTCTTTCCGTTGCAGGCGTCTAAGTAAGTCAATGCCAGCTCTGAAAAGTTTGCAATGGTGATCATCATCACCCCTTACGTCTAGCAAATATCTACATGCAATGATCGTAAGTTCAACCGCGATTATCGAGCGGACAATCCCAAAGCAGGGACCTCGATGGGACGCATAATCTGACGTACCTGTTAGCATCATGGTTTCCTGTGATGCAGCTGTTTACACAACAAAGAGGGCGATACAGGAGGGACTGAGCTATTTTAAGCATTGCCCATTTGCCAAGGGGCGTACTATGACATTCCTTCAAGTTGGTGATTTTACAATATATACATATCTAGCAGCCTCCAGCATCATCGTTGCGTGTAGAATGTGCATGTAAAATTGCAGCTATGACCGAAGATGCCATGGTTTCCTGTAGTGAAGTAAATATTTATTCATAACAAAATTGGCTGGTGAAAGCAAGCTTGACCTTTCTGCATACGATGTCGCGGGGAGGCATTTAGTGGATACGTCAACTGCAAGATGTGACGACGCACGAACGGCAAGGTCTAATTGAATGTAAGGATGGCATTATACACATGCCCCATCTGGCATTGCAATCGAGCAAATGAGTTACTCTAGCCAAATATTCGGCTTTGGCTAATCTCGTCGACGCTATTCAACACAGTTCGATTTGATGTACCCAATTGAAGTGGTGAAACCCTACAATAACCGAACGGCAGGTGCAGTCTGTAATTGTTGCGCCCATCTTGTAATGCCTCGACCTGATGTCTCCGTCGCGACGGTTTTCACTCCTCCCACACATTTCACAAGATTGTCTTCATGCTCTTGCCGCCACAACTATGATCCATCAGTTGCGTCTTCGAACTCAACGCGTAGATTCAGCTCTTTCGACTCCATAAAATCGAGAAGTTCTTGGCATTCGTCTTCAGTCATATACGCACGCATCACGCGCAACCCGTCCATGTAAAGTGCTTTGCTCCATGCACAAGCTGCAATTCCACGATACAGCACCTTTTTCGCCGCATCGATCTTTCCCAATGCCACCTCGAAGCGCATGTATAACCTCCAGCAAAGTGCATTTCCTTTTGTCTGAATCTGGTTGACCATATTTTCGAATATTTGCCGAACGCGATTCACAGCCGTCAGATTCATGTCCCAGTGATGAAAGAGACAGCAACTCGGACGCGTGAAGTTGCTGTCGGTCTCGGCAAAACTCTTCACCATCACGGCTCGCTCAACGCGGCTAAACTCACATAGCAGTGCAAACAAGCACTCTACCAATCTTGGTGAATCAAAATGGCGTCGCCAGCGCTTTTCAATTTGTAAGAAATACGTGCGATGCACTTGCGAGATCGTATTTCCCATTTCAGAGTCGACAAAAAGCCGGAGATATAATTCGTTGTACGGAAACTTATTTACTGCATCATGAACTGATAGGCGCCATTCACGAGGCGCAAGTACAGGAAACAAACCTGAAACTTGATGCTGCTGCATGAATTCCAAAAAGCACGTCCATGCCCATGACATATTCGGGCACATCTTGTGCTCAACGTCATTTAACGCCTCACGATACTCTCGGCAAGCTGCCTCGAACCCGTCATATATGTAGACGACGAGAGCCAGGTTGTGCAAGCAGTATCCCGCCCAGCATGTCAATTGACCGTGCAGGTCAAGCTCTGTCATGCCACGCTCTGCACCTGCCAAGGTTGATGCGATGCAATGTCGAAAGGCGAGCTTGAGCTCTTCTCGATATCTGGCAATCAGGTTCGTTGCCGTCGACGCGTCCGACATCAAAATCTCCTGCAAGTACTCGTCGGTTCGTTTTCGGTGTTTTTTTGTGATCGTCGAAAGCGTAGCAATCTCGCTGCCGTCCAATTGCACCGGTTGCCACACGATCCACAGCGTATACAAACACCGGAGCGCTCGGGATCTCCTACCAACACTAATCTTGCTGGCCGACGACCACATTTCGAGCCGTGCGTACAGAAAAACAAAGCGATGCATGGCCCTGAGCAATAGCGTATCGTTTGATATTCCATTCATGAGCGACTTCAATGTGTTCTCACAGATGCGTCGTACTCGGATTTCGTTTCGCAAAGTGAGCTCTAGTTTGGCATACGCATAAAGAACATCAAGATCTGCCTCGCCGCTCGCAGACTTCTGAGCCAGCCCCTGACTTAAGTGCCGGGCAGTTCCAATGCTTTGGTGCATGCACGCAACCTTGGCCTCAAAGCCAACCCACAGACATCTTAATTCGCTTTCGAAAATATCATGAGCATTGTGGAAGAGATCCAATGATTGTGCGAACACTCGGCGTACAAACAGTACCTTGCTAGGATCACGCAGCATATCTTGCTTCACATCAATGTCGCCAAGAAGCGTGTCCTCGAGAAGCTTCTTCCGATCATTTGGATCGAGAAACAATGCACATTTACCGAAACAAGTTGCGTGAGGGTTCAGCACGGATTGAATTGGACCTACGAGCAGCTCATGATCTGCATCATTATCAGCATACATCGAGTCGCAAGCCGAGACGCGAGGCTCCCACGAATGCTCGCCACGCCAATGAACGCCGCAGATGTGCAGCATTTCAGCAACTATTCGCCATCGGTGTGCTATCGGAACATAAAACAGAAATGGCTGGACTTCCTCCGTTAGTATAGCACGATCAGGCTGCTGCTCGATACGGTCTTGGTGCATTGGGTTATTACACGACAGCGGGGCCCATTCTAGTTGCGATTGCATTTCTTCGCGCGCAAGCCAGCGCACAAAGCGGTCATCCTCACCAACCGGACCATAATTTGCACGTTGATCTTCGACTCGCGCGTTTGCTGCTGCGACCGCAGCATGTCGATTTTTCTGTTTCCCCGACACACGAGTTTGCTGAGCACGTGATTTCTCGGTGCCACGCAATTCGCCCAGAATTCGCTCGTACTCTTTCGAATCGTCAGTCATATCAACGTTGATGCGGTAGCCGTGTAAATTGCTGTAAACCAACGCGCTGCCCTGCTTCAATTCCGTCTCCATTTCGTCACTTGCTTTTAAATTCGCTGTATTTGACGCGTTTCCGTTCATTTCTTGTTCACTACTTCCAGTTTCTGACATTGTCTTCAAGTGCAAATATCGTTGGCACACCGCTGTAGACCAAAGCAAATGCTGCCTGTGTTCTTTCGAGCGCAATATAGGAGAAGGGTTTACTTGATCGACAGTGGTAACACACTTTCGATGAACGTAATCTTGATACTCGGCCATAGCAGTCTCTGCTGGGTCTTCCTTCAGTCGACCAATGCTCGAACCAATTTTGTTCCTGCACTCGCTTCCAATCCTCAAAGCACTATCGTCACTCCATCGCATGGCAAACTTTCGCAGCATTTCCACGTGAGGTTCTTTACTGTCGCTTACATCAACCATCATACTAAAATCAAGGAGAGCTTGAAGCTGAGCAATTGCACGTTCGATGTGACCTGTTTTTTGGTTAAACACGCACATCAGGAAGTGAAAATCAAGTAACACGACCGACAACTCTTCCTTCCGTGTGACGGATATCATCCCGTCCGTCTTCCCACTCAAGCTCGGAGCTACGAGTGCCGCCGCAGCTGTCTCTTTCTCATCCCGTGCACTTTCAGTTCTTAAAACTGTCAGGATGCGTGCGTACAAATCGCGCACAGACTGCATTGAGAAATCACCAAATCGCTGGTGCCGACACTGAAGGAGCTTTATCCACAGGTCACTGTTCACTGGGTCTCTAGATAGGAGACTCTCTATTTGCCGCTGGATCGAGTCGACATCACTGCTATCACCATTTGTTGGATATTGCAATAACATATTGAGCTTTACGCGATGCAGCTCTCGTGAATGAGGATTAGCGGCAAGTGCTCTTCCTAATATCGCCGCTTGTTTCTCCACGATGCTTGTCTTTGTGGCGGAAATCGTATGCTTTGACTCGGAGTGTAGATTTATCATCTGCTCTTGAAAAGCCACTAAGTTTAGCCAGCAACTGCTGCTATGTGGGCTAGCTGCTATAGCAGCATTCAGCATTTTGCTGCGTCTCATTAAGTGCTGCTCCACACTTTGCCCGGTGGTAAGAAAAGATTTGCCGCCATTAACATCGTCGAAACCGCTGCCGATGCTAATAATCTCGTCGACGTGTAGCACCGGATCCAAGGGAACGAATGACATTTCCCGTTTTCGCCTCTCAGTCATAGCAGCAGTCACACTCAATTGGTCATTGTAATCCAAATTGCCTTGATGCACCGCCCGCGCTAGCCGCTTCTCTGAGTAGGCAAGGTACAGACGTCTCTGACGAGCGTTTGTCTCCATCTTTCGTGCCTGCAGCGAGAAGTACCGACCAGCATCGTGTTTCTCTTCCAAAGTTTCGTAACTGACATACTTTGGTCGAACTGGGGATTTCCATGCACCTGTAAGCAGGTCACGTTTTGTGGCCAACTTGTAGAGCGGTCGATCATGGACATACGTCGATCCAAAGAGCCCGTTGTTGCGATCACCTACGCAGTCAAACTCAAACAGTTTCTTCTCTCGACTAAAACTGACACGTTCGTGTTGTACCACGATCTGGTTGGCGTCGTTGTAGCTGCGCGCTCTAGAGCGAGAGCGCGAGTTGCTGCGACAGCGTTCTGAGCGCCGTTCAGGGCAATGCTTTATGCGTTGAGACGCATCTTCACCACTGCTTCCTGATGAACGCCACGACTTGTACCGCTTCTTGCTCTCTCGTTTCTCCTCCTTCCTCTCTCTCTCTTCCTTCTTTTTGTGCGGCTTAAGGAGATGTTGCGACGACACAGCCGTTGACTCTTCGCCCCTGCGTCGCCTCTTCTCTTTGTGCTTTTTCTTTATTTTCGTGCTGCTGTTACCGGTCGTCGGTATATAAACTTGCATTGCCGAGTCCGATAGCTCTACCGCATGATTCTGACGCGATGTACCATCGCGCTTGCTGGCCGAGAAACTCTTCCCAATGCTCAGCCAATCTGCAGCACACGGACGTACACGACACCACTGTGAACGTACATAAAATAACGAGCATTATCCAGATACGCTTCAGCTTACCGCCGTTTGTCTCGCCAGCACCGCTGGCCTCGGCTGTCTCAACGTCTTGGGATAAAAAAGTCGCCGTCGTCGGCCGTTCTGCTGGAAACATTCAAAGGAAAAGTTCCGTTTCGCTGTTCTGATTCGTCGAAAACACACGCGAATCATTTCGTCAGTATCTGGACATTGGACTGTGACTGTAGCAGCGGCAATGAGTGCCAACGACGTGCCCAGGGACCTGACGAATGACGACGAGGTCTCTGCCTACATCAAGCGAAAGATTCGCGTGTTCCACAACTTCCCCAATCCGGGCGCGGACTTTAGCGATGTCACGTCGCTATTGCTGGACCCCGTTGCTTTCCAGTTTGCCATAGATGCTCTGAAACAGCGCTACGTCGACCAGCGCATCACGCACGTGGTGAGCTGTGAGTCGAGAGGGTTTATATTTGGCGCCCCCGTCGCGCTGGCTCTGCAAGCCGCGTTTGTGCCAGTACGACGTGCCCGACGGCTGCCCGGTGATGTCGTGGGTTTAGATTACGTCTCTGGTTTCCACTCGGGTCGCATGGAAATCCACCAGGACGCCATCACGCGCGGAGATCGCATTGTGATTATTGATGACCTCGTGGCATCGGTGCGGTAATTACCGTCGCGAACCACGTGGTTTCGACCCCTTCTCTTGCTTTCCTTCTCCATCTCTCGGTCGATGCAGAGAAGTACTGACTCGAGTATGAACCGTTTCATTCTATTCGTCTACTAGGGCAAGACACTGAAAGTGACGGTCGAGCTTGTGGAACAGCTTGGTGGACACGTTGTCGAATGCGGCTGTGTGATCAATTCGCTGCAGTCGACGGTGCGTGGCTGGCACATTGCATTACACTGATGGTTGACATGTCCACGCAGCATGCGGTCGACTGACGACGACACGTTTGTGCCTATCTATTTAGCAATCGCTTTTGCACGTTCCGCTCTACTGTCTCACTCAAATGTGATCGTCATCCGCCTCGAGCACAGCTTTTGAACACTCTCGATGTGAAACTCGTCTGCAATAGCATCTGATTCTGATTCTGATTCTGATTCTGATTCTGATTCTGATTCCACATCCCCTGTACAAATGTTTGAGTCAAGCGTAGTAAGTGTCTCTTTCTCTTTATTTTTTTATCGATCTCAAGACTTATAAAGTATACGACGCGTCGGGCCTCGATGTACCAGTCCTTGCGATCTCGAGTATGCGATTATAGAGGCAATTCGACGTCCCCGACCGATCGAAAGATTCAAGAGCGAGTTCTTCCCACCCCTCGCGCGCGTGTCCCGAGCCACTAACGATGCCACGCAGTCGCCAGCGCTTTGCGCCGAATCAGGACTACCTCCTGGTCCTGCAGGTCAGCACGGACCAGCCGTTTCGAGCTCCGAGCGGAGGACTGATGGCTGGCTGGGAGAAGGTCGCCACGACCCTCAATGGCTGCAGCGCTTTCAAGACGCACCATCTCAAGGGGCCTATCGCCAAGAACCGCTTCGAGCGTCTTGTCGAACGCCACCGGAGCTGGGTCAAGAATGGGAGCAAGCCAGAAGATGTGCCGTCCGAGGACGCCGCTTTCCAGAGCGTCATGATGCGACTCGTTCCCAAACTGGACGCTGCGGAAGCGGAGCCAGTGACGCAGACACTGGGGAAGCGGGGCCGCCCACGGAAGGTGCGCCCAGTTGAGACACTGGCGCCTGCGACCAAGAAAGCGTCGACGGTAGTGGCCTGTTTGACTATCGCTCCATCGCCGGTGGGCCCACAGCCTTCTTCGCCGTCGACGTCTCTCCTCGTCGACCCGGAGGACCAGGCGTTGCCCATTGCGACAAAGGCTACCCGTCAACGGTTCACACCTCGTGATGACCTCTTGCTTGCTAAGTACGTGAAGCAGTCGCTTCCGTTTCGTGCCAAGTTTGGTGCGATTTCGGCGGCTTGGGATGACGTGGCAAGCAAGCTGGACAGCAATCCGGAGTTTTCAAAAGACAGCATCAAGGGCCCAGTTGTGCGCTACCGCTTTGAGAATTTGGTGCTGAAGTACCGTGAGCGTGTCAAACGGAACAACGGACGTGTTGTGGGGGCCAAGGGTACGCCTGCGGGCGAGCTTGAAGTGCTTATGACGGAGTTGGTCACTTTACTGGACGGTGGAGACCCTGTTAGCGCGGCCCTACTTGCACAGAATGTGGCAATTCTCACGGGTTCGGTGAATGAGATGAGGGAACGAAAGTTTGCACGTACGTCAAGGAGCCAGGATTTTGTTTCGACCAAAACCAATAGTGGGCCATCATCGCCAGGCTCTACTGCCTCTGACGTTTCACCAGATGCACCCCAGAGCTCCATCATCCATACGCTGGATTCCCAGTCTTTGAATACTCTGACGTCAATGAAGCAAACGGTGGTGAAGGCTCTTAGCCCTACTAGCATCGCTGGGTTCGAGACTCTGGTCCAAAAAATGATTGAGCAACAGAATCGAGCCATCAAGCAAATGGTATCGCTGCAGCGCGATGAGCGGCGCCTAGAGACGGAACGACGAGAGAAAGAGTTCAAGCTTCAGCGCGAGGAATGGGAGAAGGATCGCAAGCAGGAGCGCGAAGAGCGGGAGAAGGAGCGAGAGGCGCGTGAGAACGAACAGGAGAAGAAGCGTGAACAGTTTGAACAGCTTGAAAAGGAGCGGGGTGAAGAGCGCGAGGAGCGCAAGCAGGAGCTCGAAAAGGAGCGTAAGATGGAGCGTGAGGAGCGCGAGAAGGAGCGTGAGGAGCGCAAGAAGGAGCGTGAGGAGCGCGAGAAGGAGCGTGAGGAGCGCGAGAAGGAGCGTGAGGAGCGCGAGAAGGAGCGTGAGGAGCGTAAGATGGAGCGTGAGGAGCGCGAGAAGGAGCGTGAGGAGCGCAAGATGGAGCGTGAGGAGCGTGAGAAGGAGCGTAAGGAGCGCGAGATGGAGCAGGAGGAGCGCAAGATGGAGCGCGAGAAGGAGCTTGAGGAGCGTGAAAAGGAGCTCGAAAAAGAGCGTGGGAAGGAGCGCGAGATGGAGCGTGAAGAGCTCGAGATGGAGCGTGAAAAGGAGCGTGAGAAGGAGCGCGAGATGGAGCGTGAAGAGCTCGAGATGGAGCGTGAGGAGCACGAGAAGGAGCGTCCGGGGCTAATTGTGACATCGATCTCGGCTATGAAGACTTTTTTGGAGTAGGGCAATCACCAAAAAGCTGGGTGGCACTGATGTGGTGCTGAAAGGAAGGCTGAACTTTTTGCGACGTTTCTTGGCTCATTCGTGGACATGATTCGCACCGCGTGTCCATTTTGGCATGCATGGGCATCTTTGACAAGTGGTATAGCTGTGTATTCGGCATTACCTTTGAATAATCACAGCGCCTGGTGCATTGAGCATCAGAGCGCTGCTTCAGATGACCTGTGTTCTCACCATATTTTACTGAAGGACACTTACAAACTGAACCGACGTCGTCGAGAGTTCTAACCGTTTTTCAACTGGTCATTGACAGTGCAGGCCCACGTTTGCAAGTGTTTGCTGAAGCTCAAAAGTTGTCGCAAAACAAACGAAAAGCTGAGGAAAGCAAGTGATTCCTTTATTGCAATACATGGATGACGCTGTAGGCGTCCTACATATGTCGCGGTCCTGCCTGTAGTCGGCTGCACTAGCTTTGCGTGGCCAGCATCTTTGGCCACATCAGCTGGATTCGCAAGATCATACTATTTCTTTTCTATCGCATCAAGACGCACGTTATGCGCGAAATACAAGGCGGAACTGGCACATGTTTAATCTGTTTCGCTATCCTTCCAAAGCATACCCCACTTGTTGCGAGGCAGAACGCAGCTGCCGCACCTACCAGTAAGAGTCTTAACAAAGCCTGCACGCGTAAGGAGCCGAGCCTTGTCATAACTTCTTCAAGCCCCGTTACCCCGTTACCATTATCGAGCAGGTTTGGCTAATGGTAAGCCAAATTCTTGGTGGAAGAAGTCCAGTCGGTATGAAAAGTCAGCCGGTCGTCCCTAATGCCCATTATGCCTTTATCGGATACGCGCATTTCGTCTTCGTACTCCATGATGGCATTTAGTCAGCAAAGGGTGTAACGGGGCACACCCTTGCGTGAACTTAACGCAAGGGTTTCGGGTGCCCCGACAGACGAACACGAGGCGAATGAGGAAGCGTAGGATAAGGAGAAAGTAAAACTGTTGTATTAATATAATTAAGTCTTCAACCACTGTCTCTCTGTTTAACCTGACTTAATTATGTTAATATAACTGAGTGTATGGTGACGTCTCGTCACCACTTATTGCGCGCGTCCTGCGGCGATTGGTGGGTTCATATCATCACGATATCAACCAATGAGCAGACCCTTTGGTCGCTTAATCAATATCACCATCACCGGTGATATTGCTCAAAGAATATTCAACTTCATATTCTTTGTTGTCACTTTCTTTTATAGTGACACTTCCATGAAACGGGCTGCCCCGTTACATCACCCCCTCTTAACTGATAGTCACCGTGTGACTATCGAAAATAATGGCGGCCACCCGTCGGGCGCCATTGGGAAAGGGAGCACTTGTTGGGTCAGTTCCGTTCATAACTCAACCTGACCTCGCATAGCTAACATGTCTATGCGGGGTGACTTAAGGCACACAGAGTCTATGCCTGTGCCAGCTTCTGCGGCAGACGATTCGTCGTCTGCTGCTCATTCTCCGCCTGCAGCAACATGTGCTGCAGGTGCACGCGGTATCACACCACGTGCACATGATGACCCTGACATAGAGGTCATCTATTCTGGCGGGTCAGACGTGTCTGACTCGGAAAAGCCTTTAGAGGCATCGCGTTCACCTGCAATGACTCATTCATCCACGACACTGCCGGACGTACGGACTCGTGACATGTGTCACAGTCTGTTCGGTAGTGATGATGAGTCGGATGATGAGTATGATCGCTCATCACCGCGAACAACTCGTGATCCTTCGCACGAGCGACTTGACGATGGATTGCACCATCGTCATTCTGGGAGCCGTGGTACCAACAGAGGTACCACCGTGAAGCGTGATGAGCTGAAGCCGTGGCGTTTGCCCGAACGGCTCATCACCAGCTTGTCTCACGAGACAATCCAACACCATCGAATACCCTTATTCGATGCGACTTAGCTTCACGACTTGACTCCCAGCGCGAGCAACTTTCGCGCTGAAGAAGACTTTTATCTCGATGTCTTCCTTAGACATCGATGGTACAACAGCAACCAAAAGAGTGATAAGGCCTCGCTTATGGCTGCGTGGAACGCGTTCGTCCAAAACGTAAAGAATTTTGGACGAGAGGGGTGGCTCAAGAAACTTGAGGCAACACGCCTCAGGTTCGAACGGCGAACGCCAACCGGTGCAAGGTACTGGTTGCACTGTTTGTCGAGTGAGGCAGACATTCCTTGCCTCACATGGGGAGACCCTTGTGCGAGTTGTGTTGACAACTCGCAGCGTGCACATAGGGATGTGTACTCCCTAAGTTCTCCCTGGGGAAGAGCACACATCTCAGCTGAGATGCGTGACGCGATTGCAAACTTGCAATCCGTCTACAAGCGCCAATAGCGCGTGTTTACCGATGATCCCTCGGACCAATCGGATGAGTCTCGTCATACTGGTGGACGAGACCTTCAACGTCAGCCATCAATTGGGAACGAGGTTTCCAGCTGTCAGAGGAAGGTGGGTACTCACGATACCGGACTAGGTAACTCGTCCTTGATTCTGAATCGCCATGGTGGTTCAAGATACGCTCTACAAGAAAGCGTTGACCACCGTTAATATACACCAGTGGTTCCAGTGGCGGTGGAAAGACAAGGTCCGGCTCAGCCGCCGGGCCTGCACGAGACTTTGGGTACCACGAGCGTTACCTAACCGAGCTGAGAGAGGAAGTCGAGCACGAATACAATCGACGGCACGCCTTGCAGTCGGGCGTGCGACGGCTTCGTGCCGATCGGGAGAAAAATTGATCGAAATTCGCTTTCGCTCAGCTTGAGAGTGAGCGCGAGAGGCGTGGTTTGCGCGACGAGCTAGAGACGGCTCGTCGCGAGGCCGCGTAGATGAAGGGCCAACTACAATCGACGAAGGAACAACCCCTTCCGACGAAGGACCAAATTCAGTGTTTGGTCCGTGATCACAAGAATCTGTTGGGGATTCTTGAGTGCGCCGATAATCTTCGTTTTCGCCAAAGGCCTCGTACTGATGCTACGGGCGGAGACGACCAACATAAAACGTAGGATGCGTGCGCATCCTACGTGACAATTCGATCGTGTATGCATTGCCCTTGCGGTGCAACACACGAAATGGCCCAATGTATTTCGGCAGTAGTTTACTATTGCCGACACTAGTGACTGCATGTCCAGATAAGTTTACCGTAGACAGTAGTACCAGGTCGTTAACCTTAAATGAAAGAACATTTGCTCTTCCATTCTTGTCTGCGTTCCGTTTCTGACGGCCCACCGCATTAGCGATGGAGTCCTGTACAAAACGGACTACAGCCTCTCGAGTCAGCAGAAAGTTCTCTGCTGAATATTTGTTTTGTCTTTCAGTGCGCTTCGTGCACACTGCTAAGAGATCGTTCTCATCTTCAAAGAGGTTGTCCTCTTCCTCACTGAAATATTCGTTGTCAATGCTGAATATACCAGCATCGTCATCATTGTATGATGTAGCAGCAGCGTCATTGCTACTGTTAAGCTCGGTTTCCTCGATTATGACGTTGTCGACATCGGCATCAAACGTATCGGCGTGAGCGGTGATACGTGATGAGCAAGAGCCAGAACGGTTTTTGCTCGAGCGAGTCCCTCCCACCCTTTACTCATAGTCACTCTTTCTAAGGGCGGGAATACGTGGGTGGCGTAAGTCATTTACGTAGAACTGTGTATGCGTTGTGGACGCATGCACGGAGTTGTTCATGGCAAACTTAACCATCCGCAAGAACTCACTCTAATGTGAAAAGGAGTGGACGTGTCCACGAAGAATTTTTTCGAGGACACAATTCGCTCGTTCATTCTGACCATCCTTTTCCGGATGATCAGAGGTTGACATCTTCAAATGTGTTCCCAATATGCGGAACACGGTTTGCAAAACGCCGCCGTGAACCGAGGGTCACTGTCGTATACGAGTTCACGGGGTAACCCGTGGAGTCTAAAGACCGTGACTTGAAAGACACGAGCACGACCTTGAGCCTTGATCGACTCAGGGACAGCAGCAAGATGGTGCATCTTGCTGAAACGATCCACAAACACAAGAATACCAGTATTCTTGTTAGTGTATTCGGGGAATCCGAAGACGAATTCCATGGACACGGACTCCCAACACTCTACCGGGACCGGAAGAGGCTGCAATGGCGCACGGGATGAAGGACGAGGCTGTACCCGTTGACAGATCTCGCAAGCACGTATGTACTTGCATACAAACTGTTACTAGCGGGGCCAGTAAAAGTCACGACTTACCGTGAGGTAAGTCTTTTCTCTCCCGTGATGACCACCTGTTGAGGAATCGTGACACTCGGACATGATGCGTAAACGTAAATCATTATGAGTGGGGACGACGACACGCGGCGTGTCGTCGGCAACTGCAGTACAGTACAGCAGGCCATTGCGAGTCGTGTACTGGTCCAAAGAGGAACGGTACAGGGCCGGAGAATCCAACAAGGATTTTCGGGATGGGTTTGCAAGATGACTCATCAAACGGAGGAGATTCTTATCTTCTGCGTATGAATTCCGCACGTCGTCGAGTATCGGCGACGACGGCACACTGATGGACAGTGTCGCAACAGAGGGTTAGGCCTCACTGTTGGATTGTGCGTCCGGCTCAAAGTCGGGCCGACGTGATAATGCATCAGCGACGACATTATGTCGTCCTGGCTTATACTCCACAGAGAATTTATACTCCGCGAAGAAGGACATCCACCTCGCCATTCTTTGCGAGAGGTGTGGACTGTTTACGGCCGTGCGTAGTGACGCATGGTCCGTATCGACGATGAACGGTCTATCTCCCGATGATAGACCCGGAACTTAGCCAGTTCATACTTCATGGCAAGGAGTTCCTTGTCATGCACTGGGTAACTGCGCTCAGATGCCTGCAGCTGACACGACTGATAACAGATGACACACTCTGCGCCATCTGCATCAAATTGCATTAACGCACAGCCGATTGCAAAATCGCTGGCGTCACAGACCACATAAAGTGGTCTGTCCTGATCTGCAATCGCCAAGATCGGCGACTGCATCAAGCTTTGCTTGATGCTTTCGAAGGAACGCTGGCACTCATCGTTCCATGACCACTTGACATTTTTCTTGAGCAAGCAAGAAAGATGAACAGTCATTTCGGCGTAGTTGCGCGAGTACTTGTGCAAGTACGCCGCTAGACCAAGGAACTTCCTTAGTCCCTTGACATCGACTGGCACTGGCCAGTCGGTGATCGCCTTGATCTTCTCGGGATCGGGGCGTACGCCGTGTTTACCCACGATGCACCCAAGAAGTGGTATTTCGCTAGCCACGAATGTACACTTCTTGAGGTTGGCGTACAACTTATACATGCGCATAAGTTGAAGAACCTGAAAAACGTGAGTTCTGTGAACTTAATCGTCCGTCTTTCCGTCCATAGCCCGGCTATGGACGAACACATCATCGAAGTAACTCGGTGCGAAGTCTCGCACCAGTCTCAACAGATTTGTAACGCATCTGTTGAATGTTGCAGGGGCATTACTCATCCCCTGTGGCATCACTAGCCACTCCCACAGCATACCGCTGGGGTGCTCACTGCTGTGTACGGAACATCCCGTTCACGCATGAGGATCTGATAGAATCCATCCATCAGATCCATGGACGAAAAGATGGTACTCTTTGACATACCATCTATGATTACGTCCTTCCTCGGTATTGGCGTCTGAGCCGGTACCGTTGCAGCATTCAAATTGTTTAACGCGTCCACTATCCTCCATTCTCATGTGGCCTTTCGCACACAGAAGGTCGGAGAGCTATGAGGGGATGTCGATTTCCTAACATGGCCCGCTGCTAAGCGATCGGCAACGAACTTGTCGATCGCTATCACTTGTTCACGAGGCAGTGGCCACTGCTTCATGACACAGTACTTCGAGCCCGGTTTGAGTTCTATTTCGTGTCGAGTGCCTTTATCTTTAGGCAACTCGCATGACACGGAGTTAGGAAACACATCTTTGAATTCGATCAAATCCTTATACAAAGGATTTGCCTGTGGCGACTCCCAGTATTATTATACATACCTCTTAATCCGAGTCTTCTCATCGATGACGCTTTCGTCCATCGATGAACTGCTGGCATTTCGTTCGTTTTCAGCAAATACTGTTGCTGACTGAATATCGGTCACTTTCTCATCTTCTGTGACGAGTATGCAGATCTGCTTGACTTTGCCACTGCGCAGATCACGCAAGAACCGTTTTGGTTCTAGCGTTGGCAACTGAGTTATCTCCGAAGTTAACTTCGGAGGCGCAATCAGATCAAGCGTGTAATCGCCTAAGCTTGATCCGTTATTCACCAAGACATTTAATTGTCTCGATCCCCACTAAGAAATCACTTCCACAGGATCTGGATAAGCTATTTCCACAATGTAGTGATCATCTACATTGCGTTCTTGTACAGTCGTGCTAACGACCGTACCACAAGTGAGGTCATCGCACTCACTCGTAGTACACCCTCATAAATTTGGGCGTTTCAAGATATTCTTCAGATTGTTATCTGATGAACAAGTGTAGACATCGATACTGATCGATGCTGCCAGCTCACCCTTGGCTCGTATCTCCTGAGCCAAGGTAGTCCTAGGATGACATCAAACTTGTCATAAAGGTCGAGTACGATGAAGTCATCATCGTAATGTTCATCTTTCGGTGGAAATTGACTAAACGTTTCTACATAGTGATCGATGCGCCTGTCGCTAGGCACACCGTCATTCTCGTTGGAGGGATCTCCCGCGCCACGAAGTTAAAACTTCCTGCCTATAGCGACTGGAGACATACAAAGTTGTTCGACGCCCACAGTCGACTAGGGCGCGAAGTGACAAGTCTTTTGTCACTTCTAACTTCAAGGTGATGAGAGACACCTTATCACCAGGTGCAGAGACACACAGAAATTGTGTGTCGGGAGCAACCTTTTCAGGAGATTTGCAAATTCTCTTGATGTTGCTGTATCAGTAGGGCGCTCCGCCCCTACTGATCCCGACCGTTTTTTATGGTTTACCTCGCTGTTGCGACTTCACAACAGCTACGGACCCTTGCCCTCCAGTTCTTCTTGCTCGTGGGTTAATACTGCGCTCAGCACCACGAGGTCCTGAGCGGGGGACACTGCATTCGTATGCATAATGTCCCAACTTGTGACAGCGATGGCATCCCACCATTCGCTTGTAGTTCATAGGGCGACGTTTCTCGCCCTCGACTTGACAGAGGTCCATTGATTCTGGACCTCCGACTGCTAATCGTCTCTGTGGACGATGCGGGGTCAACGTAGCGTGAGCCTGTATCACGCTATAATCTTCTTGCTCCGCTGCGAAGATTGCCTCTGAGAGCGTCTTTAGCTATCCGCGGAACAAGTGGTCCCTAACGGGACCGTCTGAAGGCCCTTGAATAAAGATTGTGATCAACACAAATTCACTCACAGGGTTCACTACCATGCAGTTTGCAAGGTAGCGTACATGTTGAGCGTAAGCGTGAACCTTACGCTTACCCTGCTTGAATTGCAGGAGCTTCGAAAGAGTCTTGAGCTCTGCTTTGGGCGGCTCGGGCGTCTCACTGAGCAGGGTCTTGCAGATCCTCAACGACCCAAACACATTTGGGTCGTGCAAGTTGAGGTTCAGGGCCCAAGATCTGGCTTCTCCTGCCAGCTTAGACTGAGCGAATGAGACTTGCATTCGCTCATCGTCGATGCGACGAGCATCGATGGCATCGTCCATCTCGACGAACCACCTCGACAGGGAGTCTTCCTCGACTCCCCAATACTTGGAGTCCTCTGGTTTTAGAGACTCCCGTCGACGCTCACGCGTCGGCTCAGTGGACTCAGACTGTTGTGGTCTCAGTGCTTCGGTTCGCTGGTGATCTTGTTGTTGTAACAAGGTCACCTGCGCTCGCGACTCATCAAGTTCTCGTTGCAAGAACTTGCTAATGACGGCGTGTTGCTGGTCCCTATCCCTTGAGGATAGCATGGCCCAAATGGCTTCCTCGCAAACGGTCGAACTCATTCGTTCGATCGAACTCCATTCGATGTCGCTCAAATGGGAGTAGCTTTCATGGGTTTCGTGAAAGCTGTCGCCGTCTACATCGTCCAACATGTTCATATTGGGCGATGGGGTTGTGGTCCTTGGACGGACTAAGAAGTGCTACCAGGTGTAACGGGGCCCTGGTGACTACGTACTGGTTGACCAGTACGGAGTATACTTCCGCTGACGACAGTGGTCGACAGTACCCTGCTAGGTGTTGAAGGAACACAGAGGAAGGAAATGAGACTAAGTAGTCAGACTGGTCTCTTGGTAAAAGTAAAACTGTAAAAATATAATTAAGTCCTACAACTTCTTGAATCTATGTTGACTTAACTTAATCATACTAATCTTACTGAATGTATGATGACGTCTACTCACCACCCATTGCGCGCGTCTAGCAGCGATTGGTGGGTTGATATCATCACGATATCAACCAATGAGTAGACCCTTCGGTCATCCCAACAATATCACCATGTTGTGATATTGTTAAAAGAAGATTCAACATAATATTCTATATTGTCAAATTGTTTAAATGACAATCTCATGTAACGAGCTACCCCGTTACACTAGCGTTATAAATCTGCTTGACGAAATGCGGCGAGCCCGATTGAAGGCGGATATGACAACGTACGAGCGTGCGATTGCCGCGTGCAGTGTAAACAAGGACTCTGAAGGCGTGATCTCGATATTTGACACACTCATTGATCGCAAACGGGGTGAGAATGCTGCTGGGATAAAAAGTGACCTTGTGACAGAGTCCAGCTTTTCAGCCTACCTCGTCGAATGCACCGCACTACGAGACAAAGACCGAGTAATTGAAGCTCCGATGCTTCTTCACAAGTGGCACGCCGCAACAGGCCAAGTGCCGCCAGTATTTGTCGTGACGCAGATGTTGGACTCGCTGGAAGATATGGGCGAGTGGCGGCGAGCTGTTCGTGTGCTTCCCGAGTGGCAGGCGCTGTTCGGTACGGCTCCTAGCGTCGCTGTGTTCAATCGTGTTATGCAAATGTGCAATCATGCAGAAGAGTACCAGCTTGTAGCTCCAATATTCGCTACGATGCAAGACGCCGCAGCTTACCGCATTCGTCCCGACACTGAAAGTTCCGTACAACGCATTTATGCCGAGGAACAGCGCGAGAATTGGGCAGTAGCCACTGACCTATTCGTAGAGATGCAGAAGAGAAGCCCACGTGACGAGATACCACATCACCAGCTGCAGAAGATAGCATTGGGTCGATACAGATTGCGCCAACGCGAGACGTGACGCATTATGTCGCAAGGTGCTTCGGCTCATGTTCACTCTTCACTACGTCGTGCTGTTGCTCATATTTGGTTTTCGAGCAAGCTCTCCTCTTCGTCAGGGATCGACGAAAGAGACAGGCTGCAATCGAGGCCACCAGGAAAGCTGTTTGAAGTTGCGCTGCTTCCGTTGTACCCTTCTCCGTAGCTCGGCTGTTTGTAAATCGATTCATCCGATGCGCAGTAATGGAAAAAACGTCGCGCCGAAGACGAGGACAAGCGCAGCAACTGCAAACACGAGGTCCCACGATCCCGTAGCTTGCAGAATTGCGCCTGTGACCAAATTGCCAATGATGCCAGGAATGGTTCCAAAGGTGTTGGAGACGTCCATAATGTGCGCAGCGTGGTTTGGCGCCACATCGATCATGTTGACCCAGTATCCAACCATAGCGGCGCGACCGGTGAACAGTGTCATACACAGCGCGGCAACTGCAGCGGGGGCTGAGTTCGCGAATCGCAGCAGGACGAGAAAGTAAGCGCATCCGAGGAACGAAAACGCATTCATGACTTGGCGCACATGCAGTGCACGATGGCCGCGAGTGCCTAACGAGTCTCCTAGCCGTCCAAACAGCAGAGTCCCGATGTAGCCGCACATGTAGGGCAACGCCGCAGCGAGCCCGCCCTTCTTGGTCAGATCAAGGTTCAAGACTTGGCCAAAATACTGCGGGATCCAGCCCAGCAGGATATACCAACTGTAGTTGTAGCACATGTGCGCAACATAGATCGCCCACGCAGGCCGTGACGTTAGCAACACGCGCCAGTTCAACGTATGGATGTCCTGATCGGCGCGATGTTGACAGGTGGTGCTTGGATTTGCAATGCGGTTGCGCAAAATGAACCTTCGTTCCTCCACGGTGATGCGTGGGTCATCTTCTGGCCGACTAGCTCCTCTAAACACATACGCCACAACCCAGACGAAGCTGAAAGCGCCAAACACGACGAAAATGCGTTGCCAGCCACTGGCTGCCATTATCGCAGGCGATATGATCAGTGCAGAGATGGTGCCCAGATCGGAGCCACTTGCAACTAGCGTCACGAGACGACTCCTTTCCTGTACCGGGTACCATGCACTCGCGATCTGGTGCATGCAAGGGAACAAGATGCCTTCTCCAACGCCCATACCTGCTCTCGTGAACAACAGACGCGTGAGGCACTTTGCCACGACCACTGTCGACAGATCCTGCAATTAAACAAGCAAGCAACGTCAGACTGGCACGATACTTCGCCTCAGATGTCCAGCGCACATGCGTTCATAGGTACGTACGAACAGCGTCCAGACGACAACAGTGAGCAACACAATCTTCGCGCCAAATCTAGCAGCAAAATACCCCCCGAGGATCTACAAGCATACGAGTTTACACACATGAGAAGACAGTCCGCTTGTGCATAACCGAGTCGATGGACAGCATTACTTGAGTGCACATGTAGCCATAGAAAAACGCCGACAGCACTCCGCCTTGTTCCTCCTTATCGATCACGAGCGCCGGCAACGCTATGCCCATGTTGGTCCATGTGTCGGATAGCAGAGCCACAGTTAGCTCTTAAGTCTCGTTTCAACAGGCGATCCCACGTCACACGCAACATACGCTCAGCGTAGCAGATGGTCGAGACACAGAGACATAGAAACGCCGTCACATAGCGTCGATTGCCTCGCGGTAGCTCCGACGCGGCGTCTCGTGCCTCGACTTTGTCCGAGTCCTTCCACGTCTCTTTGCTCGCCATTGTGGATTCCAAGACCAAGACCGTCTGTTGCGTTGATCACGGATTTCGACCAATCACAGTAGCGCTCATGCCACTCACACGAACGACGAAAGCGGAGACGTATCCAATGACCCCTTAGCGACCATGTGAAGACGGATCTCCCCGAAGCGACTTGGCGCGGTACCGTTTCGGAGCGGCTATCGATGACGCTGTCGTAGTCTTGCGATACGTTGCGCCAGCACTTGGCACCTTCATGCTTCGGTTTGTCACGGCAACACCAGACGACTTCTTGTTGTGCATTCCAGACACTCCAGCTTTCTTGAGCTTCGAAGGAATGACGACGGACTTGGCGTCAGTGAAGCCAGATGTCACGCTTGTCCCCCTTGCATCGACACAGGAGGTGTCGATTACTGCCTGCAGCTCCTGCAATTTCTTGCTTTGCTCCACAAGAAAAGTACCCAGCTCTGCACGAGACTCGTCTAGCGTCGACTGGACAGTTTCTAGGCATGACAGAGTTCGCGGTTCAGATGCAGTCAAGTTTCATATGATACCTGCCGCGTGGTACTTGTACATCTCAACAAGCTTCTTGAGCTGCTCCTGCATCGTTTGTTGCTGCTCCTTCATCGAATTCGCCACTTCCTCACGTTGTGCTGACTTTTGAGCGTCATCTTCAGCGAGTGATTGAGTTGCCTGCAACCTGTTCGCTTCTACGACGCCTTCCACAGCCCTCAAATTTGTGACAAGTCCATGCAAGTCCGATGATTGAGTCGTCTGTAGCTCGCGCAAAGCGCTTAAGACGTTAGTAAACATTTTTTCCCGACTCTCCTTGTGTGTCGCTAGTCGTTCCAAGAAGCTGTTGATCTGGAACGGCGAGGCACTACGATACGACGTTGCCAGTTCCGTGTTGGTCTCGTCGTTACGCTGTGTACTCTCTGCAAGAAAAGGAACAAAAAGTATGTAAGACGGCACGCACTATGCGTGTAGCGAGAAATTAGCGTACCGATCTTTGTCAAAAGCTGGACAGTCTGCTTTTGCCGAGCATCGTACAGCTTAGCAGCGGTGAGTCCGTTTGCAAGTAGCACTTGCTCATTATCTTGGAAGGCTTTGAGCACAACTTGTACTCGCTGCAGCTCGTTTGATACTTTCGCCAGCGTTTGCTTTGTTTCACTTAGCTGGACTTGTGTTGCCGCCAGTTTCTCACCCACCTCCTGTTTTGCATACACCAGAGCTGCCACTTCACTCGCATTTTTTCAGCACCTTCCACTGGCTCTTAGCAAGATGAGTTTCTTGCCTTAAGTATATCTTCCAGCTCAGTCAATTGTACAGCCTCACCGGAAAGTCGCTCTTGCATATCAGTCAACTGTTCCAGCGGGAAGTACACGCCGTCATTCAGTCTAGCAGCGCGCAAGGCTGCACGAAGTGTCTCAATCTCGCTTTCAAAATCATTCAACAACCCCGATTTGGTCATCTTTTGATTCAGTTCAGGCTTGTTCTCGATATACTTTGCACGGAACGCACACTCCAGCGTGCTAAGCGTCTCGTCAAGGCTATCTGCGCATTAGGCGAGCGTTGCAATGATCGTCGTCTTCGCCCGCCCTCCAAGAGACTCCTGCAACAAGCGCGTGAGCTTGCTATCGCGGTATGGAACATGCGGAAGGTTGTCAACTAGCGCCGTGATGACTCGACCTAACGTGAGCAGACTCTGATTGATCGTCCCTGCCTCGCGCGCTCTGGCATTGCGTGCTCCCGATCGACCTACACACTCGGATCCAGCAAGATCCACCCGATTGAGCTGCCTGACCCGCAATAGCAATTCTTCACCAGCCGCGTTGTGCTCTTTGCTATGGATCCGAATCGTGAATACGCTATGCGATCGACTCGAATTTTCGTTCATCAAAGTCTCGGACGTAACTCGGTTCTTGACGCCAGAATTGACTAGTTCATACGCATGTTTCGCTGTCGTTGCCGTAAGTTCCAGCAAATTCACACAATGGAATCCTCCTTTCTTAGCATTTTCCATCAGCCGCAGCTCCTTGTCTGCGTCAGGATCTAATAAATCTTTCAGTTCTTCATTGTAGAGCTGCAGAAACGATACTCGGACACTAAACTCTTCCCCACTGGCCCCCAGAGCGTCAAAAATGCAGCGCACAGTACGGGGAATGATACCAGCCGGTTCACAGCCTGGAAGCAGATCGCCCTGCATCGTGTATGTCTTGCATGTACCTGTCTAGCCGTAAGCAAATACAGTGCAATTGTAGCCTGCTAGCGCCTCGTCTACTGCTGTTCGCACGACTGCATCAAACACGTCTTTCTGCGTCGAGTGTTGGCCAAAAACACGGTCAAACGTGTACGTTTTGCGCTTCACAATGGCCACTTCACTCGACTGAGGTTTGCATTGGACGACAGCGCCATGTCCGGCAGCCTTCCCACGGCTACTGAAAGGTCGACAGAGTAACGCGACTTGCACGTTCTTAGGTATCGCTGGAGGCAGCGGCGGAGGAGGAGCGTCGTGTGCGCTGGAAGAAGAGGACGACGACAGGCGGCGAAGGTCGCGACTCGACTCCATCGTGTCCTTTTGGCGGTATAGCGTTTCGATTGGCTGTTCGATCTGTGCTTTGATCGGACGTCAACGACTCGCGGGTTGTAAGCGCGCGTTTCGACCAATCAAGTGAAGGACTGTTGCAATGGGTACATCCACACTTTGTCGGCTACTATTGAACTTCCGAACCAATACAAGTGCTGCTTTATCTGCAACAGCCTCGATTGTGTCCTGCAGGTCCGTATGCCTCGTCAAAGACGTCATTCGAATCGAGTGGTGCCAGTCGACGTCTTTTGTCTCTTCATGGTCTGTGTCTCCGTGCAGGTATTGCTCCTTTTTCGCAGTTGCGTCACGTACGAGGCAGCAGTGGACAAAGCAACTGGGCAAAAGCAGGGCTTAGCACGTGGTTGTAGACTGCGCGGACCTCGTATTGGGATCGATAGGCTTCTGTCGATATTGGGCTGACAAACGCGTTATCGTCTGTTGCTCTTTTGCGTCATAGTACGGTTGAGGGTGATTGTTGCGCAAGTCAGGTCAAACAACCTCTCTGCACGAGGATAGGAGTGCAACACTCGACGGAACAAGGTCGAAGAGTAACGGACTATTTGCCATGCTGCGGCACCGTGCAAACGACGTGCAAATAAAAGCATTGTGCTTACTGCTTTCTAACGAGTCTTAACAAAGCTTTGTGATCGTGTGTCAGCTACATTTATGGTGAATCGGTGGCAAGTTAGTACACTCGCACAGCTTTTTAGCACGGCGACTTCGCAGACTTTCCGGAAACTTGTCGATATCGACTCGTTCGCATAGCCGGCCATCTTTCGGGTTCGTATCCTTTACAGCAATGCTTTACGTTAAGGTTTGAGACGCTCTCGCAACATGTCATGTACTTTTGTACTTGGCATGGACGACCTCTGCACACGCGTGCAGGTACCGGCGTTGAGATGTTTGCCTGCTCTGTAATACGCACCGGATTCCAGAGCAAGCAAACATCTCAGCGCCTATTTCTACTGACTTTGAGCGCGCCGATGCACGCGTGCAACGCGTGTTTGCACGCCTGACCGAGATGTTACATCTGGAAAGATCACGTTGGCATGCCACTTTTCGAACATGTCTTTGAAAACAAAACGGATCAAAGATAAATTGCGTGGGAACAACGACCAGCAGATGGTGCTCAGCTATGTATGCACGTAACATTGCAGCCGATTTGTTGATGATTAACTGCTCAACGGTGGACCATAACGCTCGAGCAGCCTACACCATCTTGCTATCGTGGGCAGCATCTCAAAGTGTAGCCTGCCATGACAGTAGCGTCACAAATGTAGAATGAAGGGCACCTGGACGATACAATGATTAGCAACGAGCGTCCGCACACTTGCTACTCGTCGTCAAATATGTTTATCAGCTATCGTCTGATATGGATATACATGTGTTTTCGTGAATGAGCTACACGAGTTTCTAGATAGGTTTGGTGCATGTAACTTTGTAGTATGAATATGACGTCGCTGTGTATAGCTCTTGGGTCAGCACGCCGATAGTTTGCATACACAGCGCTGCATTCACATCGTGTCCCTCACCATGATGATCCTGGATCTAACATCGTATACTGCGGCTTTCAACGACTCGTCAAGAACGCTACGATGACTGTGCATATTGCGAACGGACATGACGGCGCTCTCAGGCTTCCATCATTGTTCTGGACCTTGGTACTGTCCAGGAGTGCGGCAGTAGCGATGTCTAATTTCTTGCAACACATGTAAATAGCTGTTCACAAGAAAGAGCTGTAAGAAAAAGACGTCATCGAGGAGTCCACATTACATCGTTGAACCGAAAGCCGACCGATGGCACCACGCGATCGGTTTTCGAAAGTTTGAGCTTATCACAGAGCCACGCCGACCTTACCGAATGTGGACACTCTTCTGGAAAAGGTGTAATGGTCCACACAGACATGTAATCAACCGTCAAATAGCAAAGTTCAGAACCACTGACGGCAGTCGAGCTTGTCATGTGGCGTTCGTCAGGTTTGCGCACGACGCGTGATTGCACCTTCCGAACAAGTCACGTGTTGGTGTTTACAGCTGAGGCAAACATGCGCATCTGACACTTCGACATTTGTTGTCCGTTCAGCGTTTACTTCCACGAATCAGCAACGGAAATCCAGACAATTCTTGTTTTCGTCGGTATGAGTATGATGAAAATGACGTGTATTGTTAGTTTCTTGTTCATGTTGTCTACCGCCACTTACGTACCCGGAGGCTTCAGCGACAGCTCCAACGACAAGTCTGCACTGTGATCGAGCTCGTTGCTCGGCCTTCGACTGTCGTCTTTGCTTACATCTTTATGGCCGTTTTTTCTTGCGTCCAGTTCCCGAAGAAGCTGTATCCAAAGCCTTTCGGCAAGATCGATGTGCTTGTTCTCTTCCGACGCCATCTCGGCTTCGATATCATCGACACCAAAAAACGACGTGACAGGTTTAACTCCCTTCTTCTTCCCGTTGTTGATCGCCTGAGTGATAGCTTTGTCTCCTAGCTTGTCCATTATAAGCTTAATCGTTTCCGCGTCGACGTCTTTCGATTCTAAGGAATCACGCAGCACAACGAACTGAACCAAAGTATCCAGAGTTTCGTATGTCCAGCCTTGCTTCACCAGATCGATAAGCTTCAGCACTTCCTCTTCGGACTTGGTCTTTTTCCAGAATGTTAGCAGCTCTTTCTGTAGCAACTTTGCCTCACGCCCATTTACAAGGCTTTTCTTCTCGATCGACAGAAATCGCGCGAATTCAAGCTCACTGCCAAAGCCTATCGATAGCGTGTCAAAGAACTTTTTCGTTGCCTTTTCCGATGAACCGAGGAATTCTTGCAACATACGCACCTTTTCAAAGCTAAAATTCCTAAAGAAATGGTAATTTGATAACTCTGCAGCGAGTCCTTCTGGTGACATGTCCTGCGATGAGAATCTTTTCTTAAATCTATTCGCATTCATCGACAACATTTTTCTTAAGTGTGGTGTGGCAATTTGCACGAATTCCTGCATGTCCACATCTGGGATAGCTCCTTTTGCTGTACGCGTGCCCACCATACGTAATAGATCTTCATCTCTGCTTAACACTTGATCCCAACCGCTTGAAGTGAGCTTTGGCCCGCTGATGCCGCCGTATAGCTTGAACATTATCGTTTTTTTAATACCACTTGTAAGCGGTTGCAAGGCGTCATATGATGGTTTTACTGGTGGTGCCCTCTCTTCATCGTTCGTAATACCATGTGCCACAAGCTGCTGATTGGCAGGGTCGTCGTTGGAGTCATCGGTGAACGGAGGATACGTGGCCGTGGAGTTGTCGCTCGTATGCGAGTAACCAGAGACCCCCGAGGCATCAGTAACGCGGGTCGGAACGGCCGTCGAGGCGAGGAGTACGAAAGGATAGAGGCGCATAGTCTTTCAAGTCGAGGTGCTTTCGGTGCTTTCGGCAGCCAGTGAATGAATAATGAAATGTAACGGGAAGATTCCGTTCCATGACATTGACACTACCAAAGTCAGTGCAAGTGTTATCGACGTGGTACTCCTCTTGAATATTATTTTCAAAGGTTATTTTTCGGTGACCTTTGCTAAATGCTTGATAAAGGCCCTTGTATCGACCGGCAAAATTTGTATTGAATAAGAGAGGGAATAATTGGTGGCAAACAGACAGCTGCTGATATTATAATTTGGAAAAGGGATTTATAGGTACACACCCACCCTTCGATATGTACACCCCCCTGAAATTGAGGCCTCCTTAAGTACAGTAACCTCCCCAACTAGGTACTGCACATTTATACATACACAATGCCATATAAATATATTTTGCTACGAACACACCCCTCGGTAATAACGTCCTCTTTTGTGTCAGCTCACACAAATTCGTGTATGAATTCCGCTCTCATAAGTCGGTACCCCCCTATAAGTACCCCTTATACTATTATTTGCCCAAATGTAGATGCGTCCAGAAGAACGTCAACAACGCCTAGATGCGAGCAGCATTTCAGCCGAACGGCCGCGTGGTCTACCGCGGCGAGAAGCAAAGCGGCGAAACATGTAACCTACGCGTTGCTCTGCGCATTGTCGTACCGCCATCCGTCTCGTTGTGGTGCTGTACGAGTTTGTCTATGTTGGCACGTAGACGTGCAGCGCAGTAGGAGGTAGGTGAAGGACGAGAAGACTCTGTATTCAATCAATCAATGTCTTCTCTTCTACCTGCTGAGATTTCAAATCGATCCACACCACTCATCTTGACAAGCAGCCGTTCTGCTTCCAATTGAAACGAATGACGCTTATTGAAACATCGCGCCAAATCTCCGACCTATCGATTAGCAAATGCATCGCTTTCCTACAGTCTATTTAGTATTGTATCTTGCATGCACGACCGCAGGAGACCGATTCGTTGCTGAGCAGAGCGACGTTTGCGCACGGACATAAACGCAGCAGCTGTCACTTCTCTGTCGCAGCCGCTCGAATCTACTCAGTCAATTTTCAATAGATGGCGCAGGGACGTTCTGGTGGCCAATTACCGCGACTCGACCAGGTGAGCGGGTGCCACATATACATATTGGGGTACTTGTGTCTGTTTAAATACGACGTCTATGTAATTATTTTCTGACATTTGTGGATGTAAAATGTGTCTTTGACCTGCTCAAGTCTCGGAGTCGCTTTGGTAAATCTTTGACAATGCAGCAGCACCGGACAATCGCAATATTGGCATTAATGATCATATTTATTCTGCAAGGAACGATCGCTCATGTGCAGACGTGTTTTTTGAGCTCGTAGGGGAAGACGACTGGGACCACGCACAACTTGTGTCGTCTCAGATTGACGCTGTTAATGCGACGGTAGGTCATTGACGAGGCGTCAGGTAATTTTCATTTAGGGGCGGCTGTTCAATCACTTGCTGATGCCGATGGGATTGTGTTTGATAGGTAGAGGTGAAGGGGCCTACTGATGCGCGGTATGTTACAGAAAAGGTCATCATGAACGAGCATGACTTCCTGACAGTTGACTAGCACTTAATTTTGGTGCGCAATCAGGACTAGAAGGTCGTCGCGCAGTGAGAATCGAACGAAAATGGAAACTCCATCATTTTCATCGACCAAAAGTCCACTAAAAATGACGGACCACGGTGTGGATGACCGGGTACAGCTCACGTGCATGTGGCAGATTGAGAAACACGACATAGACGCTACGGTGCAGTACGCGGCTCCTGCTTGAATTGCATGAAGGATACGCGAAAGCCGTGATTGGCGTCGCAGCTGACCGGTGAAATTCAACTTTTTCGACTGCAAACAGGTGAAGGAGGTGCGGAGAGACCCGTAAACACCTTATCTTTTTCACGGCCAAGAGTCTTTAGGTGCTACAAGGGTCTGTAATGATTGGTATGACTTCCACGCGCCCTCGGAAGGCGTTGGGTACCACTGGTACGAGGCCCTGAAAGGTGGTAGGAGAGCGCAATTGGAGCAAGCGGTACGCAGTGCAGCAAAAGCTATATCGTCGCATTCGCGTGATCCTGCACTTGCCTGTCACGAAAACAGACTTTAATCACTCCTACCTGGAAAAGTTTGGTCTCGGCACAAAGCAAACGCTCGAGAAGTGGAAGGAGTCTATCGGGCTTCGATCCCTGGCAAAGTTCGTTTCGCCCGACGACGCCCAGTTTGACAAGTGCAAGCATCTCACGTACGTGACGTTATCGACACATGATCCACAATGAGAGTAATTTTTTATGTGGCCGAGCGATGGCCTTTCTGAGCGATCGACAGTTGGTCACAGCAGTGTGTGAAGTCGACCAGCTGTAATGTGTCCTTTATCATAAGAAGGATCACAATATTAAGGAAATAAAATGGCACACACCCATCCTTTCAAAAACATACATCACCACCCAATCCAATAACTTAAAATCCTGTGAATTGTGGATGCGTGTCCCGACTACTGGTTTGAAGCAGTCTGACGATCGTAATACTTACAAAGCCGCCACTTCCTGGTCTAGTACAACGCCAGCTTCAATGCGTGCGAGAAAGATCTCCTCAGTCCTAATCGATATCGCAGTCATGTTTAATTGAGAAAGCGATATATTTGAATCTTTTTAATTTACGTTATAAATAACAGCAAATGAATTCCTTTAAAAATACGATCGTGGGTGTATGTCCCTCATTAAACTTTAATTTTGAGGTACAACAAGATGTGTGCTGAATCCTTAATCCAATATTTAAATTAATCTTAATATACGAGAAATGGTAGTAATAGGAGTACTTATAGGGGGGGGTGCCGAATAATGAGACCAGAATTCATTCGCGAGGTTGTGTGCTGACATAAAAGAGGACCTTATTACCGAGGGGTGTGTACTTAGAAAAGAATATTTATATGGCATTTTGTATGTATACATGTGCAGTACCGAGTTGGGGAGGTTACGATACCTAAGAAGGGCCATTATATTCAGGGGGACCCACGTATTAAAGGTTGGGTCTGTATCTATAAAACTCCTACAATAAGGGTTAATTGACGTGTAATTGCGATTGGCAATACCCCGAACCCAAGTCACATTTTGCGCATGTCTTTTTAATATAGTTCACGTAAGGACTTCAAATATTAATATTTGGGGGCTATTACTCTATGAAAATTATTACCTTGCACGATATAAAATCGTATTCTCATTAGTTCATTAGATTCCAATACACGTTGGTGTAGGTGAAGGCAAGGCAATTCCTGGACTCTTTAAAGCGAAGTTGTCAAAGCGGACGCCCCCTTTCTGGCCGACGCCCCCAGCTGTCAGGATCAGTAGTTATATTGGGTTATTGGTATGGTTACACTTAGGTCTAAAAGATACTTAGTCGATTAGCGTAGGAACGAGCAAGATCGCACTTTGATAGTGATAACGTTACTGACGAGATCTCGGGCGGGTGGAGGGGGGCGAAAGGCGTCTGGCGAGCGTTTTTATATGCACGGCATTCACAATAATTCTCGAGTTTCTACTTGAAATGTGGTGATTGCAGGTACCTTGTTTGACTGTGTAGAAACTCATGATCTGTCCAACGGTCACAATTCCATCCACCATGTGAAACGGTATGATGCTGCTACACAAGATTATCAATTTAAGTTTGATAATATTGGAATAGTCACTGGAACTTCTCTTAACGTATCAGATCACAACGTGATCTTTTTCCAGTGGTTTATATAGATATATAACTTGGTTGGTACAAGGAATGATATGAACTCTTTAATCGCTGCTTGACGCGTAAAATGAAGCATGAGTATACGTCACAATACATGTTCGTATTGTTGTGTAATTTAATCAGGACTAATAGAAAAAAAGAAATAGGTACATATAATGTGTTACACAAAGTTACTTTTTACCACTACTAAGTTTCGTCATAATCGTTGTAGCTCATCCTTTCTCTATACTTTAAACGCGGTGTAATAGGGCACTGACAACATATGTTGTCAGTAGGAGAAAAGAATGTCGTCCCTGAAGACATTATATCGCTTACATATATGTGGTAGAGTGGTGATCGCTCTTTTAAGGAGTCGATCCCAACTCTCCACTGGCGCCCGGGCGACCGAATAATGGAGGGGGTATCCGATTCCGTGTTCTTGATAGCCTTCCTCACCTTGCGTACCCGTCGGTGGGGCGGGTTGCACTCTTCCAGGTGACCTCGTGTCAATGGAAAGCTTGACCGTGTTTGCGATGGGGTCTAGGTTCGATCACGGTGTGGAAATCTTCACACCACGATCGGGTTGGTGTGATCTCGTGGAAATTCGTCACGCGATCACTTGTATGTTTGTGGGGTGCTTGATATGAGTCACCCTGATCTACAACAGATCGCCTTGTCCAAATGTACACCTTGATTCGCGAGCCTTCTGACCACTTGAGCCGTCTCGCGATCTTGGGTCTTCAACCACAAAGGGTTTCCTGCGTCCAGTCGCAGTTGGGGTGTTGTTTGAGAGATCCTGATCCCTGTCCAAACAATCCAGGGATATCACTTGATTACAGCATGTAAACCTTTCCTTGACGTCGGGTGGCCAATGATCCACCCGGAGGGAAGTCGATACGTGTACTTTGAAGCAAATTGAACTCTGTTTAATGTTAACCAATCAAACTCAACAACCCTATACCTATCTTCATGTCTTAGACATCGTTTGCCACATGTCGCTCTCTCTAGAAGGTAGCGAACTTGATCTTGCGTGGCCCACACCTGATATACTTGTCTGATCGCAATCACATACCTGATCACTGATCACGATCTCGACCGCTTCCTGATCGTGATCGCCTTGCTGATCGCAATTCCCTTCTTGATTGACTGATCGCCCCCGTTACCTTCCGCCTCATACCTTGACCCAAGATCGCAGGTCCCATCCTGCCTGATCTGATACCATTTTAGTCTGACTGTTTAATGGACGCGATCTGACCAGAT